GTCTCACTCCATTTTTTTTTTTTTTTTTTTTTTTGAGACAGAGTCTCACTCCATCACCCAGGCTGGAGTGCAGTGTCGAGATCTTGGCTCATTGCTGCCTCCCAGGTTCAAGTGATCTCCTGCCTCAGCCTCCCGAGTAGCTGGAATTACAGGCGTGTGCTACCATGCCTGGCTAATTTTTTGCATTTTAGTAGAGGCTGGGTTTCACCATGTTGGCCAGGCTAGTCTCGAATGACTGACCTCAGGTAATCTGCCCACCTCAGCCTCCCAAAGTGCTGGGATTACAGGTGTGAGCCACCATGCCCAGCCTCTTTTCATATAACTTCTAACCTCTTTTCATATAACTTCTAAATTAAGAATCACTTCAGCTGTCAAGGAAACCTGAGAACTTTACCTACATTTAATCCTTCTAAGAACTCTCTGCAGTGATGTCATCCCTGGCTTAGAGCTGAAGAAATGGAAATTTAGAGAGGTTAGGTAACCAGCCCAAGGTAACACAGCTAATAAAGAGCAGAAATGGAATTTGCACTGAAATGGAGTTGCAGGCTTCCTGACTCCATAGCCCATGCCTTTAACCACTAATTGTATTGCCCTCCCTACTGTTCTAGTTCTTCTACTTCCAAAATGCATTTATTAAGTAATCAATTTTTTATGGTGCTACTGTGTTAAATTCTGTGCAAAACAGGTTTCGCCCCTGCTTGTCCACTTCTTCTACTCCTTGCCACACCCAGCTGGCTACTAACCACCAAGAGCCCTGCCCTACTTCTGTGCTCATATGCTTTGAAAAACCTGATCCTGGGGTGTGCAGTCAGCAATCTGGAAGGGTGGCACTCAGATTAGGTGCACCACGCATGGCTTCTTCTCCTCCACTTCCCATCGTTTTCAAGTAATTGCAGGATTTTCAAATTAGCCAATAATGAGTAATATTCAGCGAGGCTCACAGCATTGGCATGTAGATGCAGATTTTGCTACAAGCTTGAAAGAATAATTCTTCTTTTAGCACTGTCCCTTGTTACTCTCAGTCATAGACTTTCATAATATTTTAGCAAGTGCTGAGAGCTGTGTAGCTAGATCACAGCGGAAACCTTCACGAGTGCATATATACAGTAGTTATCTTTTTAAAATTTTTCTGGTTAGAAAGAAGGCTTTACTTTCACAGCCAAGTTTTTGTTGTGAGAGAAATCAAAGGATTCCAACAGTTTTATTGGTCTACAGAAGGATTCTTTTCTAGATATTTAGCATCTCCTCGTGCTCCTCACATTTTATAGTTATCTCTTCTATGCAAATATCATTAAGCAGAAGCATAACTTACATATCTTCTCATTTCTGTTAGGCATCCAATGCACTGGAGGAGCTTTGCCTTGTGATTATGGGAATGCTACCAAAGCCTCAGGTAAGGTTGAAATAGTGTTTTGTTTGTAGACAAAAATTATCCAAAAATTTCTTGGAATTTCTCCTGGAAGAAAGTATGCCCAATTTAGGAAGCACGCCAAGACGGTAGAAGAGGAAAAATTGATTTTGGATAAGAAATACTTCAGATTCTCTGATGTCTGAGAATTGAGCATCATATTAATGGAGTTTTCAGTAATCTAATTGGGAAATCATGTGTCCCTATCAAATATAAAATTAGCTCCAGTCCAATGGGATAAATATGGGGTCACATTGGCTCTCTTTTTTTTGCCCTGACTCATGCGACTTTGGAGAACAGATGCATCTTTCTAAGCTGCTAAGTGCATCTTATGGTTCAAAGGTTAGGACATGGTACTTTGTGGGAGAGTTGGACATTAAGAATGGAAAAATTAAATAAATAAATAAAGCAAACTGTATTGTCATTGTCTTGGTTTCTTATTAAAATGACTTGATTCTTCTGAGAGAACTTTTTATCCTGGAGTGAGGGTAGATGGGAACTTGAAAAGTAGCATAAGCACCATACCTAATTTTATATTCTGTGTCTTATTGATAAACTTATTTTAAAGCTACTTTATTAAAGATAAGAGCTTCAGGTTTGAATATTATATTTTTCATTTGCAATTCTAACTTAATCAGTGGGCATTGGTACACTCTGACTTCCATACCTTTCATATATAATAATTCAAAGAAAAAAACATTGATATTTGAAAGCATAAATGTTTTATGAAACTAAATAATCTCTGCTTACAACTGTATGTTTATCCATTGTTTCTAATGGTGACACTGTCCAAAAAGCATAATCGATTTTTTCCTAATTAAGATAAAAGAAATGACAATGGTGTTTATTTATGATCTTCCGTTTGTTTTATTTATTTATTTTTTTTGTTTGTTTTAAAAGCAAGTGAGAACAAGAAAGTACAACAACAGAAAAGGAATTATAAGATTGTAAAAATTATTTTATGAAAGCCATCAGCAACAACTCATAACCTTATTTAGTAATAAACAGTAAAAATATTTTGATGTGATTTTTTTCAGTCTTTTCCTCTGACTATTCCATCATGTCATTATGTAATAATTTCCCATTCTACCATTGTTGAATATTTAGGATGTTTCCAATTTTTTTACTCTTATGAACAAAGTTGAGTCAGGAGATCTTTATGCACATCTTTATTTGTAAACAATATTTAGTTTCCCGTTTATTTTTAGAGCAATGGATGCTTAACTAATTTCAGTCTTTTTTTTTCTTTTTTGCTAATTTCAGTCTTATATTTTATATGTAACATAATGAGTCATGTGTTTTAAAAATTATGTGTTATAATCTTATAACATTATAAAATTACTGTATCTAAGATAGTAAAATGTTATAATATATAATGATATATAATATCTCTTTTCAATAGGAGCAAGATGAAAAAGATAATACTAAAAGGGTAAGATGTTTCATAAATATATACCTTATAAAATAATAAAGGAAACCACTAATTTTTTATAGTAAATTTTGCTGCTTTTTTTAAACAGTTTTTATTTCATTATTCGAAGACACAGAAGTTGGGCAATTCAAATGTTGTGGTAAGTTGTAGAACTACTTCTTAGTAATCATTAATTTGTTTTAAAGAATGAACCTGTTTTTGCAGTATAACAGAGCTAGATCAGAATTCAAATTTTTTACTTTAAAAGTTTATATGTGAGTAAAGAAATGAAATTCAATATTTATTATACATTTATTTTATATGTCAATAACTACCTGTGCATTAAATTCATTAATTCATTCATTTAACAGTCATTTACAGAGTATTAGCTATGTGCCAGATACAATTCTAGGTACTAGAAATATAGCAATAAATAAGACAACATTTAAAAGAGAAATCCCTGGACGAACATGGTGGCTTATCCCTGTAATCTCAGCACTTTGGGAGGCGGAGGCAGGTGAATCACTTGAGGCCTAGAGTTCGAGACCAGCCTGGCCAACATGGTAAAACTCTGTCTCTACCAAAAACACAAAAATTAGCAGGGTGTGATGGTGCATGCCTGTGGTCCCAGCTACTTGGGAGGCTGAAGCACAAGAATCACTTGGACCAGGGAGGTGGAGGTTGCAGTGAGCTGAGATCACATGACTGCACTCCAGCCTGGATGACAGAGCAAGACTCTGTCTCAAAAA